TCATGGCTCAGTGGTGCTATTACATAATGGAGGCCACCACTTTTTCCCTAATAAAGATGCTCTTTTGGACGTGAGGTTGATAATGATCTAAGTCAAATGAAATAACTAAGGTTGATTTTTCAACAGCACCTTTACAGAATTACATTTAGGGAACTATCGTCTCTCTCTTAAAACTTTTTACACATAAACCAAAGAGAAGTGTTGAGCTGTCTGTTTTGTCATGTTGTAGGATCCATCCTAGATTTTCCTGGAGTAGTAAAAAAGTTTGGCAAAGGCGCAACACATGCAGTAACTTGCACTTCAGATGAAGAGGTGGGACTTATGCGACGGTCTAGGGATTACAGATTTAAATGTGTGTGAGGCATTGATATTGTTGAGGCTGTTTTTTCACATAATCAGAAAATGCTTCGACACAGAAATTTCCGCAGCCCCGAGAATCAAATCGTGAGGTTGTCTTCCATACTTTTACATTGTCAGCTTTGACAGAACATGTGTTATTCTGGGATGTTGAGACTCACAATATACAATATTAAGCTAAAGGTTTCCCCAAAACTACACCTGATCTGGCGATTAAAAGCAAACAGTCCATTAGTCATGATTACAAAGAATTCTTCCTTTACTATATTATAAGATATTGACATTCACTTCTTCCAGGTAGTTTCTGGCGCGGTTAAAATAATGGAGTCCTCCGATATCGTCTGGACTCATCTTCATGAAGCTGAGATGTTTTTCAAAGGTAAGCGGAATTTGATTCAGCGGCTTATCCTTGTCTGATAATGCATCACTAAGGGGCCAATCAGATAATTCGTGTACTGGATGACGAGAAAAGCAAGGAGAACCTTTTAATTTGATAAATGCGTGGTACAAATTAAAATACTACTTCCTTGAACTGAAACTCTCTTCGCTCTCATGATGCTTTTCTGCCTTCTGTACGCTTTCGGAGACTTTTGCTCTCTTCTCGCCTGATTAGAATGCTATTAGAGTCCTATGTACTATCTGTTAATGTAATTTTCGCATTCCCATTCGCATTTTTTGCATACTTATCGTATGATAATGAGCCTATGCTTAATCTTCTGTTTGCAGAGGAACAGTCGAGCAATAATGAAAATCAGCAAAGAACTTTCAAGGTAGGAGATGAAAGTGCACTCCAAAATAAAATTCATTTTTGATAGCTGAACTCTTACAACGATCCCATGCCTAAAAAAACATAATAAAATAATGTAACAAATATAAGCTTCATAGATTGAAGTCCTCAACGCAAATTACAAAAAAAGTGTAGATCTTCCAATCAAATATTAGACTTAAGTGTCGACCATGCTTAAACCTAAGTGCGCACAGAAGATTGCAAAATCGTATCTTATCGTAATTCACGGTAACTATGTTAAATTCAAATAAAAGGAGGTCAAACATCTCTCTGTAGCTCTGGCTGTAGGTTTAGCCAATTTTTTTTTATTTTGTGCCTCTGGCAAAACATACACAATGTCAAGTAAGGTTGTACATGTTATCGTCTCCATCTGTTTAACCAACGGGTCGGTCTACGTTTTTCACTGCTCACACATGTACCATCAATGTAAAGCGTACATACTTCAAATGGTAAAGTAATCATGTATCTTTGCTCTTAATAGGACGTACTTCATTCCGTGGATTCAAGTATCCAGCAAATCCACGATGCTGTGCCAAGTGACTGTTTATTATTAGTGGTGTTTGGTTGCAGTGATTTATCGCCCGTGATAAGGTTCGTGTATAGTCATATTCCTCTCACTTACCATTCCATGTTTTCCGTAATTCATGTTCCGAGAATTTGGTCCCACATCAGTTGGCAATCTTAGCTTCAAGTTAAGAAACAGCAATCTCAGGAATACCAAGACCATTGTAATCACTATTTGTTTTCCCCATTGTCACGTACTGGAAAGTCTGTGGCACGTAATAGCAAAGCTGTGGAACACGCATGAGCAAACTCCCCTCTGAATCCTTACTGAGCCCACAATTTAAAACGCAAAGTTGTTAGCCATTTGAGGTATTTGATGACCTGGTAGTTTTAGAAAATTTTCTTGGTGCTCCAGATCTTCTCTGATCGGATAAGACTCAGCCTTCTCAATGAGACTCTTTTTGGGGGAGGGGTAGGGCTGCGTTAAACACGTAAACACGATAGAATACATAATCTAAGGAAGCAATGCCTAATTTTCTCTACAATTTGAATTCCAGGCTTCAGTCAAAGACAAAAGAAGATAAAGCCAACAGAGCTGAATTGAAAGAAGTTGTGAGCAAGACAAAGAATGGACTGTGCTTTCTAAAAATTACGTAGCGGTGTTACTTTCACAATCGATAGCCGTGAAGCAAAAAGCCTTTTAGGAGCTTGTTGAATAATGACCAAGTGAACTGTTGACAATATTGCAAAAATATTCGTCAAGTCAGCTCAGAAGGCTGTTAATGTACAAGCATTCACCATGAATACTGATTCCTTCGAGTCAGTGATTCATTTGCAATCAATTCAAGGAGAGAAAATAACAAGGGTTTGAATCAGACGCCGCCGAGTGAGAAATTCAGGATATCCTTCAACGTTTTATCAACATGAGAGAACTTTACCAAACCAGTACTGCAGCGGGAATGTGGTGGAACTAAAACTTTTTATATGTATAAGCTGCCTTTACCTTAAAGCCATTGATAGGTTTTACAGGAACATTTAGCATGTTTAGTTTTAGTGAACCAGCTGGGAAAATTCTATTAACATTTCAAAAGTTTTGTTTTAAAACTCCGGGCAGTCAAAGTAAACTTCTGTTGTTTGTAAACGAGTTTTAATAATCTTAACTCCAATTGTGTTTTCATAAATTGTTTATGAAACAACGTCTCGGAATTTATGCTAAAAAACATAGCTTTCACACTGCACGTAGTTGGGAGGTAATTGAACATTCTCTGAGCTTCTGGATTAATTGTATAAGGAGGTTTTACGGAGGGTTTTTTTTTAATGTCAGTTTGCTTTCCCGATGCCCATAGGTGAAAAATATTTGACATATTTCTTTTAAGAATGATATATGTCGGCACAATTTATAATTTTGTCAGCTATTTTTCCTAATGCACGACTCAGTCGAAATGACGTCAAATGGTTGAGATCTAAGGACGTTAAAACTCGTTGAGGTTTGTGGTCAATAATTTGAAGGCGAAGGATAAGCACTTTCTCATTTTCATTGGCTGCCAAATTTCATTGTGGCATCTGATATTAAATCATTCGGAGAAACATTTTACATACGTGTTTGACAAAGTCTACTTTGAATAAATGCGAAAGGATGTGAATTTCCTCTGTTCGCTGTGACAGTGATTTCAAAAGATAGAGTTACTCCAACAAAAGTGAGAGATTATTGTAGCGTATAGACCGAAAATATTCTCTCGGTTAAGCTAAAATATTTTGTCTCCAATTAAGAACTCTTTGAACTTTCGTTGAAGGAATGGCTCGTGCAGCAGGTTAGTATTCTTAACTCGTAGTTTCATAGTCACAAACTCACAGTTTCCAACTCGTAGTTTTTAACTCGTAGTTTCCACGTAGTTTTATTACAACTTTGTTTACTTCGTAGCTTGAAAGTGGTTTGTTTCTTCACCTTTGTATGTCAGTGCGAGAAGAAGCAGCGAGAGCTTTTAATCCTTAATCACTGATATGTCAGTTGCTGTAAAAATGTGCGGATGTCATTTCGGCTTTTTGTTGATGTTGATGTATGTAGGGCTTTTTATATTTCTGCGGTAGATGCGTATAAGATACCAGAACTTTTCAAATGTCTCCATTCCAAAAACAATTGTGACTCAGGTTTTAAAATAGAATATTGAATTTGAAACCCAATAACAAATGTCATTTCTCGGCCAATCATTTCCCTATAGTATAACTACCGCCGACTGACACAGCTGTTACAAGCTGACTCTAAAGTGTATAATTATTTCTTGATTCCTTCATCACAGGACTTGTAAAAATCTTTCACAAGCTGCTTCTCGCGATGATGTGTAAGAATTTCAAGTTGAGAAGATGCGATAACGGAACATTTTGTTTCTCACGGCTCAGATGCAAAACGAACTTCAAGCGATTTTTACCAGGAAAGAATTTTCTGACCAGAGCTGACAAACATTTGAGAAGCGATCAAGAACTGTGCCTTCCATCTGCACGAGAAGTGTTGCAGCCGATTTACGTCACAGAAATCACACGAAACTTCCCATCAGAAATTTTGATGCCTTTTGCTTCAGCGAGGGATGAGCTGGACGAAATTAAATTTTTTGGCAATGGAAACCACGATAAATATCTACTCAGAGAATCCGATATTTCTGCTGATTCTGAGGAAAATGTTATATCTGAGATTTTTGCGTGGGTTTACAGAATGGAAATTACAGAGGAAGACTTTTCAGATGGGTTGTCGGCTACTACATCTGTTTGCGAGAAATGATTTTCTCAGAAGAAAAAATTGGAGAACAACTCAACTAATTGCTGCAATTTTACGAATTTAGAGGAATACTGCCAGCGATTGGCTGGTGCTGTCATAGCTGGCCAAATAATAATACTTCATTTGAAAGCTGTCTCAGTCAGTCTAGAAGTTGTAAATAAGATCAGGCTGATCAGGGAATAGGCCTTAAACTGAATGAATCATTATACTGTCTATAGAATGACTGCTGTTTCACAACCTGTCATTTTAGCAGTTTCAATTATAACGGTATTTTTCTTTCCTCCATTTTGTTTCCTTCAGATTTTCAGCAGTAAAATTTGTTACATTTGAACTATTGAACTTCTCAGGCGGATAACAGGTTTCTTGTATTTTCACCTTTTCACGTTATTTGTTTCAACCAAAGAGAACATTTTTCATAATCAATCGTAAAACTTGAACAAACTCAAAACAGCTGGAATTAATCATATTTAGAAACTTTCCAAGCACTCGACTTTGAATTCATGAACTCAGGATCTGAAATATCGCGACTGTATTTCAACAACTTCAGATTTGATTGCATGATTCTCATTTATTGCTTATTTATTATTATTATTAATTGTTTACTGTAACAATTTGTTGCAGTACACGTGCAAGACTTTCTGCCTGCTTATTGGCCGAGAGTTCGTCGACTTATTCCACACAGTGCGAAAAGTATGGATTTAAAATTGATCGTTAGTGAAAAACATTGAAATAAATAAAAACTAAAATAACAATGTACATTTATAACCAGTGATGAAATAGTTTCTCGTGCAATTCAGAGTTAATAAACAGTCCTCAATTTTTCGAATACTACAATTCGCCATTTTGTTCGTATGGGATACAATTGTTAATCGTGCTTATTCCCAAATGCATGGGAAATCATTTGAACACCCAAGCAAACTTTTTACGGGACTGAACTCTCGCAATAAGGAATCTCTCTGTCAGTTAAATATTCCACGGACAAAACTGTCTCGCGAATAAATTTCGTTCGTTTATTTTTTTGTTCGACTGCAAATGGAAACCATACATTAAATATCCCGCCATGGTGGGTGGATTTTCCAAAAAAATACGAAAATAATTTTTCGTTGTTCGAAATGAGGAGGCTGAGTTTGATATTTCACCGAAAAGGAGAGTTTTTTTTTCACTTTTGACCGTTTGACCCCTAAGAGTGATTAGCATCTAATTTCTCCTTACAACGTCACACCTGAATCACACAGTAAGGTCATGAGAACGAATGAAATGATTACCAACTAAAGAAGCTCTTGATTGTTAAACAAATTCTCCTTGCAGCACCCGAGGAAATGCATGGAGAAAAGTATGGAGAATATGCTTACTGATGTTAGGGTGTGAAGGGTTAAGAGGAAGATAATTTTTTATTCTCGTTTATTCCTAACCATTACTGCGTGTTGATAAGCTAGGTCTCTCATAAAAACCAAATCTACTGCCAGTTGTCAACTTGTGAGGCAGATGTTATCCGAATGAAAGAAAGCGCCCGTAAACTTTGTGCGCACAGCACTTTTAGCTTTCGCTGTTATGTAATTTTCTTCTTGTTATGTAATTTTCTTCGTGAAGTCAGATCGAAATACTAGAGAACTTTTTGCATATTTTGGTCGAAAGTGATTGAGGATACCATATATTAACCGAGGACAGTCAACACGCAGCAGTTTAGAAAGGATCCCATATTGTGGGGTGTGAAAAGCGAAAGAATTTCTCAGTCCCTCCCATTTTCCTTGCGACTGAGCCTGAATTTTTCCAAGCTTGTTTTCTTCCATTTCCTGAAATTTCTCACTTGTCGACTTGTCATGTTTATGTCGATACTTTTTTCTGAAAACATTGTATACAAATCAGTGGTTCGACTCTTTTGGGATTTCTTCAGCTGCCGTATTAAGACAGCAGTGAAAGGAAGGGCCTATTGTGATAATTTCTTTACTTTTTCATTTCCGCACTAAGACATATAATTTAACCGACTGCTCGCAATAATTCGTCAACTGTCTATCTTTTCTTACGGAGTAACCAATCGCTCCCAGGTATTTTATATCCTTCATTTTCCTTAATGCCAGAGACTTAGCTGGGTTGATTAGAAAGTTTTTCGCCTTTAGTATGCCTTGCTATAGACTTAGCATTGTTTTCAAACTGAACAGCTTGCCTTTTTTAAATTTTTCTGTTTTTAGTATCAATAAATCACCAAGGCATGACTGAAAATCTTTTTTTAAATATTTGAGAATTTCTGAGTTGGTAGTTGAACGGAATCTTGATCGCATTTCACAAGCTTAGTGCAGTAAGCGAAAAAAAATTTGCGTGCGTTGAGACCCAACATAAGTTTGGAGATACTCATTCGAATACTAATCCATGGAAAAACAGACGACAGAAAATCTTTTAGGTAAACTGACACGTAAGGATTGAGGATGGCCCTAGGTAACTTTGCCATCTGTTACAGCAGTGTTTAAACATCACTCAGAGAATGTAAAAAAACACTGTACAGAGAAAAACTTAAATAAGAAAACTTGGAAAAGAATGAAACGTCACGTGTACAACTAACACGTGACTGCAACTAAATTTTCCATCAGGGAAATATTCGTTGCTCTAAGCTGTAAAAACGTTTATTGCATGACGGTGCAGTTAATACTCGATCTTATCTCTTTTTATTTCTGCTTTCCAGCTATATGTGTAACTTAGATATTTTTTTTTGTCTTAACTAACAACAAAGGCACACTCCACTCAGAACCGCTGTGTTTAAATATATTGAACCTAGCACTTGTACTGTCCACGACTATGATCAAATGGAGTGGTGTGCGCCGGACCTCTTCAATTACCCACAATTTTTTTTTTGCAAATGACTCTTTCCAATTATTACTTACATAACATACATGAAAACAGTTCTGATTGGCTAGCAAGGAGTGCAGTTCTCATGTTATACGAGTGCAAATTACTAAATGGGCTATTTCCAGATGTACATCATAATAACTTTAAAATGATAGCGTTGCAAAAGTTTGAAACTACCAAACGTAATCTGCTTCAACAAACCAGCTGAAATAATCTCACACGAAATTAAAGAAAACGCTGTCGAAATCTCAGGCGTTCTAATTCATTGTCTGGCCTTTTTTTCATGTAGACTAACAAAATTGCATGAGCCCGCAATTACAATGACAAATATGAACTTTTTCGTGTGAATATTTATTAGAAAATTGTCGTAAGTGTCTTAGGTGTATGCAGTCCTTGCTATTTGCAAGTGCTGGATGAAAACGTGACACCACATGAGCCAAACAGCCTTCAACTCAGTTGATAATACTAAACATGCAGCCTTCACACTGTCCATGTGTCCAGCTCATAGTGCGTGGAATCGCAGCAAATGTTTTTTATGTAAATAGCATCCACCATCAGTTTACTTGATGTTATCAGAAAATTAATTGAGGAAAAAAACAAAACTTGAGAGTTGTTTCATTACGGAAGTTTTTCAGTCTTCTTTCAAAATACCGGTAGTAACAACACCGGTTTAAAATGAGCAAATTTATCCCAATTAGGCCGTAAAGTTGTTTTTTAAGAAAAAAAAATTCGATCCGCTGCTGACGGAGAAATAAATGGCTTGAGCAACAATGACTCGCAAACTGAATATATACACCGGACATTTTGGAACACATGGGACATATCAGTCAAATGTTACAAGTTATATTCGTTTCGAGCTCGAGGAGACCACTTCAAGCCTGTGCGCGTAAACCTGGTGTCTTTTTCAGAAGGTAAGCTCAAGAAAATTTCTGTCTACGTTAACATTTCTTTTGATCTTTTTGGTCTTAATTTCTTTTGGTATTAAGATAAATTTGTGCAAAAAACCCAATTATTGAACATTAAACGTTTTCATAACTTTTTTTTTAAATTTCATCTCAAATTCGGAAATTCATTTTTAGTTCGGCTGATCGACAAATTGAATCCGGTGCATTATAGCAATATTTTATATTCGTAACTTAACACAATAAATGCATTTAAAAAGTTCTGAACTGAAACGAGTTACAATGTACTACCGTTATCTAGAAAGATAAAATTAATGGAGGGCAAAATCATATACAAGACTCAACGTTCTTGTGTTCTCATGGAACACGGACAATCTCTCTGGTGGGCGGACCATAAGGAGAAAATCAACATACCAAACGTTTCAAATCGTCCTTCTGATAGGGCGTCGTCTCTTTTCCTCTCTAATGAGAAAACCGACAAGAAACGGAACTTTCCCAACACCTAATTTCAAATGCAGTAATGAATGAAAAAAAAAAAAAACGAACTGAACTTTCGGAACAAGTGAATAGTCTCGTGCTAACGCCTTTCTGTCGTTCTCCGAAATTTCTTAGTCAAAACTAATATGGATCGCCTCGTTGAGGAGATTGAATAGAACCCTAACTTGAATGTCGTATATACTTCTTTAATAAGGCTTCAGAACAAACACATAAAATATAGATATGTCCGTATCGAGAGCAACTTAAGAATTAGAGAAGGCAGAGAATAAAACGGAAATCATGAAATGATAACATTATTTTTTAATTTCAAAATATTCTATCACTCGATTTTTCTTGATGAGCGTTTTGAAATAGTTTGAGTCAGCCAACTCTCTCAACAAGGTAAATGACACATGAGGTGTTCAAAGAGAGAACAGAAAAACATTACTGAAGATGAAACAAGCCTCAAATATGATTGTATAGAATCTCGGCGCTACCGACCATAACTTTTTTAGTCGGTGTGTTGATATTATTTCTGGTCTTCCGCAGGTCAAAACTCTAATTGTTTCAGGCCAGGCATATCTTTTAGAGGGTTCACTGGAAGAAATCTTAAAGGTTTTACATGGTGAAGTTTTCGAAAAATGAAACCCTGCGATTCCCACAAAGAGGATGCCTCACACTCTACCACATTACCTTAAATCTACAAGAAAAAAGTTAGTCAGGTAATTTAGAATATTAATACTGTACGTGAGCGCACTGATAACTTCCCAACCAAGAATAACATGTAACGTGCCACAGGTATATATATCTATACACCCATGCAAACAAACCTACGACACAAAGCGCAATACACGAGTTGAAAAAATGACCTGTGCCAACTGCGTGGCGTTACATTTCTTATCTTTACTGCCTTACGGTTTTTTTTTTACGATGCGCGTTCTAGTCTAAAAATGATTTACTTACGACTTTAAAACTCATTCAATCAAATTTCATGTGCTAATCCAACAGATTGTGGCGTCATGCTTGAAGGATCTCACCAGCTGTCAAACCTCACAACCCGATCGTCGGGCTTCCTAAATGGCTCAAACACAACAGGACGAATCTATGTGTTTTTACCAGCAGGCTTCACCACCAAACTAGTTGCAGTCTTATTTTTGGCAAATTTTGGAGTCGTAGGATTCGTTGGTAACAGCCTTATATATTATTTTATTTCAAAAAGAAAGAAAGCCGTCGGGTTTCTGCAAAAAAGCGCTTTTGTAAGAAATTTAAATCTGTACATAAAAAGTTTAGCTCTTTCGGAAATTCTTTGTTCCATGATATCTATCCCATTATTTTGTATTCAGATAACGGTAGACGTATTTCAAAGGCACACCTGGGCTTGCAAACTAGTTCGGTATTTCAACATCCTGTTTCCTACTGTTACAATAAATAATCTTATAGTAATAAGTATGGAGAGGTATTTTGCGACTCGTAAAGTTCCTCTTACCTTTAGTGTTGCTCGTGTTCGCAAGCTAATATGGGCCGCATGGATAGTAGGTCTTATTCATGTATTAGGCCCCGCTGCAGCAGTGGATGGAATACCTTATGATCTGGATGATACACATTACACAGTCATGTGTAAACCTGATATTAGTTACCGAGTGTTTCAGATAATTTGCGCAAGTCATGGAGTAATACAGTACCTTATTCCCTCTTTGATCTTAATTTATTTCAATATTTCCATTGCAATAACTATGTGGGGCAGGCAGAAAAGAAAAGTAGATATACAGTCAAGTAACGCCATAAGAGAGGGCTTAAAGGCTGCTACAATTCGAGGAACATATCTCCTTGTTGCCATTACACTGTCATTTATCGTTTCAAATTCAGGGGTTTATTATTACGCCATATATGCTACTTCAATGGCGAAAGATCCTCCAGATTTTAGAGCACAATTTATCACAAGATGCTTTTTTTCTGGGCTGATTTTCTCGCACAGCATTCTTAACGTTATCATATATCTCATTCAAATGAAAGATTTTCGTGCATTTATTAAGGGGCTATTTTTCAAGAAAGCCGCTAAAGCCTCCTTATGGAAAAATTGACTCTCATCGCTCCAACCGCTCCGGTAACGATCCATCATAACCTTCAAGTCAATTTCAGTACACAGTAACCATACACAGTAATCCAGTGGGATCAATTTAGGAACAAAACTTTTCCCGACTGTTGATTAATGTTCCAGCAAGCTCCAACATTAGTACCAAGGTGACCACGGCAGAAGTCAATTAATAGTCACTTCTCTCAGTTTTTATCTTCTCTTTCGATACCACTTTGGAAAAGCCCTGTTTTCGGAGATCGAAAGAGCCGTTAAACCCAACCGATATGCTTCATTTTGACCGAAGAAAAAACATAAATTTTCAAGTTTATCTGCCAAATTAATGGGGACTTCTAGGCTAGATTAACTGTGTACAGTAAGAAATAAGTTTTGTCATTACTCAAACATCGAATTCCAATTACATTCCCAGCGCTATAGTGGACAACATTATGTGTTTGTTAAGGCTTGGTGGGACAAAGTGGCTGGAGTCTAAATAGCTAGTAATCATAATAAATTCTGTAAAATGTTGTGGTGGAGCTTTTTGAGTGCAAGTACCCTCAAATGTGATAAAGCAATATATCAGTGGCACCTTTGTACTATTTTGAGTAATTAAAGTATTGTAACTTACCTAAGCGAGTATCGTAAAAAAAGACTCTTGTATTTCTATCCCGATGTTCCTGTCATAATTTCTGACTGGAATTCGAAAAAGGATGATGTATAAAGATTTCAAAAACAGTCATATAGAGCGGTTGATGCTGCTCTATCTGTTATCAAAAATTGTAGATAGAAAATGGGATATGTATAATGCATGTGGTAATGTAATGATCATGTAAATCATGCAGGTCCAGGGTCGCTTAAATAAACGGTTATCTGGGCGCGTGGAAGCCAGCCTTGCTACTTGTAAGCTGGCTATGAAACCTGACCTTGTAACTCAGATTTTACTTCGTGTCATGTTGGTTAGCATGTGATTTCTTCAAATATAATCGCCCTAAAAGTGATCGATAATTAATTTTAATCAGTGCATGTATTTCTACACCTTATACAGAAAATCAATAAAATATTCATCATTGTGTGATCACATAAATTTTTTTTATTGAAGTGTTTTTTGACTAATCGTTAAATTAGCTGGAGCGCTTATGGGTTTGGAAAAAATTTATTCTAAATGAAGTCTTTGGTCAACGACTAATGTGTTGTCAATGGTGAAAAAGGTTTGACAAGCATGGATGATTACCATAGCTACAATGAATTTAAGTGAACTAAAGAGACGGAAAAATAGATTTCGAGTATTTCCAAATTAAAGAAATTGGGGGTTCATCATGCAAATTTTTCTCACATACAAAACAATTTAAAACGAAGGATTTGTTTGTTGATCTTCCATATTTAATATTCCCCCATGAAAAGTTTGAATATAAGTTAGTTTCAGTTTTTTCATTAACTGTCAAGTCCTACAGCTCGGGAACAGAATCAAATATTCCTTTGTTGTAAAAGAAATCTTGACAGGCAATAACCTCGACTTGTCTTATGGGAGCGTAAGATTTGGATTGCTTTAAATCACATAAATCAATGCAAGTAGGCATGTTAACAAATGGGGAACCGCTTATATCACACAATAAGCCTAATTTTAGCGGTTAGACACTGCAGTAGATAGCTGTAGTCATAGGAACTTTATAAAAACACAATTCAAAAATCTTGTTTATAATCAGAGAAAAAAAATCCTTCAACCACCTCTTTTTTGATTGAAGTTGGATTTTACATCTAAATCTCGCGTCATATGGCTTTAGAATATACACTGGTTCATGTTCTTCTTAAGAACTCAAACTTAATAATTAAAACTTCTTATTGACAAAATTAAATTTGCGAACTTTAATCAATAACCTTTTTTAGGTCTTTATTTCCTTATTACAATTCCAAGAGCACTGCTAGCATCTCATCGAGTTCTTCTTCCGATGCGCTGGCTCGGAGTTTTGCGCAATTTGTTCCATCACACGCTTCGCTCGAGCTTTTCGGTCTCTCTACGGTTCCGCTGTTAAAATTACTCTTCTCCCAGCCCACATTCTCTAAATCACGCATGAGTTTTTCAACCAGGGAGTCCGTACTTCCCCTCACACCTGCGGAAGCTTCTCTTGAAATCTGCCCTTCGTTTTCTTGTCTTGTGGTTTCAACAAGTTGAAGCAATTCTTGTAGCTCTGCATTTCTCTTCTCCACATCCAGAAAAAACTGTTCGAGTTCCTCGTCTGGACGCTGCGAATCTTCGTCTACAACAGACGGACGTTTCTTGGCGTTTTTAGACGAGGGGCTGTACAAATTGCCAGTCTCAACCTCCTCCAAAATCCTTTCCATGTCCTCTTCTTTTGCAAAACTGTTCACTCTCGACAGCTTTTTCGAGGAACTGGATATTTTGTGATTAACAGTTTTTGCTTGATTCACCGTTGAAGGCTCCAACATTTTGTTCCTCGCTTCTTTAAAATGATTATTCGTTCTGTTTTGCACAGAACCCAACAAAAAGCTTGTCCTCATGTCTTTACAAGAGCTTCAAGTACTAACCACTAGTATGCTACGAGTGACCGCAGTTTACGTTTACTTGCTGCTTTAAAGAGCTTTAATTAGCGCTGTGGCTCGTAGAACTTTCCCAACCAAGTGATAAAACATTTACACCTGTCTCCACTTTCCTAACAATTTGACCACAAAGGATCGTTGTGAATAGGAAAAACCTTCGCCCAATGAAATTTCCAATTTGTTGTTTTCCTAGACAATAAATTATATTACGCACTAAAAAAGTAAAACTGAAAATCCACGAGTGTTAATTAAATAAATTTCATTGAGTATATGCTGCCTTCGCTGTGGCCAATAAAGAAATTTTAAAATCGTTTTTTTCCGAATCAGTTGTACGACGTATGGATGTTAAATTCTAGTCATGCATAACAAAAGACGTCAACGTGATATAGAAGCGATGAAAGCTTTTATTTCGACACCATTTTCTCATTCTTAGGTGATAAATAATAATTGAGGCACGTCCTACATCTGACAGATTTTCTTAGCATGTCAAATTTCCATGCCGTCATCGTCGAGTACAAACGTGAGACCAAGAAAAAAAACCTTTGATAATTACTTAATTAATTACAAATCTGGAGTTTCACACAACTGAAAGGAAGAAACTTACTACAGGTCAATATTTTGCTTAGGGTTTTACTTAGTTTTAAACGTTTAGGCTACAGAAATTGCAGGTGAAGACATGGATGAGAAATTATCAAGCCCTTTGCAATGGAATTAAAATATCACAAGGTTAATTTTGTCGTTAACGATTGTTTCGATAGCATTTTTTAGTTCGATCGACGAACTTTATTGAAGTTCAAAAATAAGGAACATTTAGTAACTCTGGCACTATTCTTGTGATTATAGGCAAATTTTCTTCTAATCACAGATTAAATTTTCATCTCCAGCAGAGGAGTACTTGGTTTAAACTCCGGTGTTTTAGCGAAATTTTCAGCAAGGGTTTCAGAAGTGTAGAAATCATTCATTGTCTTAGCAATCTTGCTTGTTCCACATAAATTCTCCTTTCTTCTGAACGTGAACGACGTTGACGAATTCATGGTTCTACTATTAGTGACCATTTCTCTCACAACTATAAAATGCTCAGTAGCTTGGAGGCAAATTGTCGCAAAGTCTCCTTTTGCGAAAGTTGCGCTTAAATTAAACATTCTCTCGGGCTCGTTTCCGTTGGTTGAAAATCGGCGCAACGTGGGCTCATTTTCCATATCGGAACGTTTGACATGTGGGGCTTTACTTTTAGGGAAAGGAGTTGCAGTTTTGTCCCATGCATTTTTAAGAATGGGTGATACACATTTCAGGCGCGGTGTAAACGTGCTATCTGGAACCAAGTTCCATCTAACTGTTTTCTTTGTCTTCTTTGGTACGCCTCCATAATAAGTTTGTTCCACTCGTACTACAAGCCCTGGGGACTAATTTGATATACGTTTTAACGCATAAAGAAACAACTAACTTAATAGGAAAACAGATTCAGGTATAAGATGATTTAAGACACCGTGACAGAGAAAGCTTCACGTAGTGTAATTGTATCAGGGATATTAACATCACTGCAATGCAGTTTTCTATGGGCAATCAGAGTGATATTAGTTAAAAGTGGGTGATAAACTTCTTGCTCACTCGCATCAAGATGTGCCTACCTGGACACCATGGAATTGCCTGATGTCTTTTCGAAAATCATATGCAGGGGAATAAATTATCGTCAAATTTAGGTCCTTATGTGCAGCTGGCATGGTTTCAGTCACCCTAAACAAATGACGTTGATACAACAGCACCAATTAAAGTATCATGTTAAGGTAATTTATCAAAGACAAATACTAGATACCTTTACCTTGGGGACGATGTATTCGTGGTTTGTAAACATCCTTGTTACAGTAAAATATGTAATTTTTTCCTGACTAACAAGCATTTTCAGTGTCTCTCTCAGTTTATACATCAGCTCTCCTTCGCAAACTCTTACTCTTCCTTTCCATGACTGCCCATAGACAAAATCCCAAAAGTTCTGGCAGTTCACATCCAGAATCAAAGACCGGCTGTTAGCACTGGTTGGTTTTTCCACAAATATCTCTGAAGGACAAATTTTGCGGACAACCTCAATGTAGTCGATTGATTTTTTACCTAATCGCTGGCATCCACGGGTAGCTTGAAGTTTCAACTTTTCTTGATACACTTTCCAAACATTTTTCTCAATTTCTTTGGCTGAGGAAGGTGTCCATGGCTTGATGACACACCTCTTCCCGCTTTTAGCATGCCGTTGGTCATTAACAATAATTTCGTGCTGTCTTTTAAAACAGCTGCTGCATATGCAAGTATTTCTAGTTGCAAACGACATTTCTAAGGTGATTTCAGGTGAATTATATTTTGATTATGTGAAACTAAACGTATGCGTACGTAAGATGCATGCGTCATAAATACTGTGAAATGTTTGACCAGCGCGCGCTCTTAGCGTGTACTGATCGGTCGGAATCCTAGACCAAGAACTATGAATATGATTCTAGGCTCCTTTTTAATTCATTTGTGTAAGGAGATGTATCATCATTTCCTTCGACACAAATAGTATTTTTACACCGGACTCTCGTTAAGAATTCTCAGTCCGTAAACTAAACTCAATGCTTTACCTGTTACATAATGGTTTACATATCTTTATAAATCCAGCATCAAGCTTTCACGTCTGTCTTTTCCAATCCATGCTATGTCCATTTCTCCACATTTCACCATCCGTTTCTTTATGACCCATTTTCCTCTTTTGGCATTTTTGTTTACTACAAATCTAAATCAGCATCTCTGGCTGAAAGATATGTTGCATATCAGCCGACGACGGAGGCTATTGCGATGCAGTTCCATCAACTTCAAATATCTGAAAAGTAATTCTCCCATTTAAGAGCCAGGCGTTGACGTTTCCCTGTGAGATAAGTTAGAGAATTTGATTTTATATCACGTGCACCCTCTTGATGATAACTTCACATTGTCTTTTTCAGGCCCTGTTTGCTGGAGTGATGTATTAAGATTATTTACGTCAATTACCTTCAGGTAGAAGTAAACGTATAAAGGAGAAATAAGTGAGATTTGGTTAAATTTACATTCGCTTTTAAATCTTTTAACTCGCCCACCTTTTGTAATAACAGCAAAATAAACTTAAAAAAAAAACAGAAAGCAAGCCTTGCGCTGTGATATTCCTTTTCTGTTTACTTTCGCTTTCAATGAGTTATAATGATTTTCTGTATGGTTTGCCGCAACTTGATAATTATCGGTATTGTGACGTGATGGTGGATGTGCAAAAAAAGTCATTACTATTTGATATCCACCTCCATAATAGGTTTGACGAAAATACCTCGAAGTCAGCTGAGACACATATTTGAAACTTGAAATTGAAAACGTTTAAAAACAAAATAAAACACAGATTTACATTCTGGATAGAAATTGATTCTGTGAGGGTGTGTAGAACCCAGCTCTCTTTTCAGTTCAGTTCTTATCCTTGAGTTGGCAACAGAATTTTCTGACTGCAACAAAAGCAAGGTCAGGTGTTATTCAAAATAACTCGTCAATCCTTTAGGAAATACTGAGTGCACATAACTTCTACGGAAAACTTACATAAATTATTCCGTTTTTGACTGATTCAACACAAACAGCAATTAATTAACGGCGATAAGTGGTACAATAGATAAGTCACAATGCCGGCTAGAACCTTCATTTTGTGGCATACCTGTCGGGGTATTGTATGATAAAAGATCAGTTTATTTTAGGAAATGAGATGTGAATGACCAAGCATTTTTCGCGACATGTCCACGAAAGTGAACGTTTGCTTTTAATTGAGTAGATAGGGCTTAAATTTTATTGGTTGGTGCGGGCATCACAAATAGCGTTCATTTTAAAAGTCAAACCAGGGATTAAAAAAATCCATTAACTTTGCCATAGCTTGACGGAAACATACTTTAGAAAAGAAAAGAGAGGATTTCCTCTGAGGATATCTTAAACTCGCTAGTGAGAGCTGTGTTTTTGTTTTCCTAATACACAGACCGCACCTGAGGCCATAATATTAAGGTAGGTCGGTATTTATCACTAAAAAGTACGTCAGATTCCATATCTTGCAAATCAGCGCTACTCGACGTGACAGGTGTGATGAAAAAAAAATATGTAATTTTTAAGATTCCCACTTGGCTTGGAACACTTCGATTAATCAACAAAATAATAATTTTCACGAAAGTTGAATTTTATATGCTCATGAAAGGCTACTAGAGATCTTGAACAGTCTTAAGGGACATTATGCCAATGGAAAAGACAAACGGCATTTATTGTTCAAAAGAAGTCATTTTTCTCATCAATAAAGCCTAGTATATAGTACCTGATAAATTATTTGAGAAACGGAAATAAGTTTCGATGAGAAACGGAAATAAGATCAATATCTTAGACACGCGGGCCATTTTCTTGATTTTGATGAAGCGATGTTTGATGTGCGGTTCGTTTTCGTCAACGCAATACGGTACGTGCAGCAAAATAGGTAAATAATACCTTCTGTTTCAAATTTTATGAGCCGAGGGGAATGCTTTTAAAACCGTCACTCTCACAAAAAAAGTAATTAGTTTTGAAATTCTGAAGTTTTATTACAAACTGATTTCTGTAGAATCATTAAAAGTAAGTAATTTTTTGAGATCAGTCCCAATTGTTATGGAAATTGAGGTGAACTTATAATTCAAATTATGGCACCCCTGCTCTCACAGACAATTTCCACAGTAATTTTAATTCTTCTTTATTTGTAAGCCTCATGGACCAACCACAGGCCGCAAAATAACTCGTGACGTTTGCAAAACAAAGCTTGGTCCGATAATTTATCTCCCGGGCGGACATTACCAACGGCAAAATGATAGAAGATCCGGAGTACATTAAATTGGAAGGACTGATCACGGATGATCAAGACATGTCTCTGCGCAAATCCCTTCTAAGTGGAAGAACTTCGCGAAGAATATCTGATAATTCAACGAACGAAAATTCTCTTCAGCAAAGCATTGATGAAACTGTGGAGCGAAACCCATGCAAGCGGATCAGCCTACATCAGGTAATGAATTGACTTTAACTTTAAATGTCTAGATGTCAGGGGGATTCAAGAAATCAGTTTCAATAAAAGTTTGGAAATGCATGTTTGCTAACAAATACATAGTCTCTATGAGGGAGGAAAAATGATGTTACTTGATAGTAAAAAGATTTTTCTTAATTACATACGCTGAAAATTAAAATGTATTTATTTTATGTGTTTGTTACTCAAAACCCTTCTTGTCAAAATGTTTAAAAATTTCAGCCATTACAATATCTAGGAGTCTTCGATTTGTTTTTTTCATCTCAGAGCAATTAAATATAGGGCATGTGAAATCACTTTCCATCGATTGCGGTGCACACATGAGTGACAACGCCAAAAACAGACAGCCCCACTCAAGTGCATTTATTACATTATAAAAATGACAATACTCTCGATGGGAATATCAAATAATTTTGTTATCGACAAGCGCTCTTTGAGTGCGATAGGTGGTTGTTTTGACTTCGAAGTCAGAAAACCCACAAAGGCAACAGTTGGTAATTTCTGTAACTGTCTTTAACAACAGCAAAAAAAGCACCCTATTAAATTCAAATGCTATCAGCTAGAAAGGCACTACCTTTACAACTTATCTCAAATTAATTGTGTGCTATTCAAGGGGTTCTTTGTCTCAGTATGATTCAGCTTTCAAAAGAGTGTTATCCTCTAGCGACAGCTGCATCTTAGCATGTGGAGGATTCCTATGGCCTACGAAAGTCTAACACATTTTACAATGCACGTCATCAGTACATCTTTTAATGGCAACATATATTTTTGTTTTATATATGTTACTTACTTAAAAAAGGAATGAATGGTATAATTGTCACCTTTTCAATTTCACCGAAATTATTTTTATAATCGCCAGGAGTGAGGTTGCCAAAATGTAATAAATTTCATATTTGATGAGGATTTTTCTTTAGACAATGGTAAAGAAGAAGATTCAAACGCGTTTGTTAGAGATTGCATTTGAGAGAAAACAGACAATTGTTCATCACAAATGAGGTTAGAATGTAAGACTGACTACTGTAAGAGATTTTCCATCCAATTTACTATATTTCCTATTCAATTTATTTCAAAAGATATGGATTCTGAGGCCACTGTTCAACATAAATCTCTGGCCTGTTGAAATGAATCAAATTGATACTCAGTTAGGCACTAAGGTCTCTTCGCGGGTTTCTTGACTTAATCATATTAAAACAAACAACAACATGATCCAGATTTCCTAATTAATACACGATTATTGTGCTGAAACACAATAACATTAAGTATTTTTTCCCTGATTGATAGTTGCAAATTTTGATGGTTATCCGGCGGCTCGCTTGTTGTTAATCAGGTAGATGAACTCATTTCGGCAGCTAAGGAAACTCATTAAGTTATTCATGAGCTCCGAAATCATAAAACGCACACTTTGTTGGAGACCTTTGATTCTCATAAAAAATGCTTTTGCACCATCTATTTCATTGAATGTGGTTGGAACTGCTCTCGTCGTAATTTTTTTAAATGTCTAATGCAACTTATTTAATTAACTCTTTATCGATTTGCAATATTGTCGATGGAAGTGTATAAGGGACCATCTGACTTAAAATTGAACATTGTAAACGAAATTTCCTTGTTGCAAAGGATGCATGATCTTCCGAACTCAGGCCTCGATTTTAGAGCCACTTAAAGGAATTGAAGACTTAAGTAAGAGAAATGAGACTACGTGGACATCAACAAGCCTCCACCTTTCTTAAATTCAGCTGTAAATGACATAAAACTGACAGAGGATTGTTTTAAAATTATAAAGAGCTGGTATTTTATCACTACCAGTATAAAATGAAATAGCTTTTTAATTGTTAACACTCTCCCACCGACGCAGCACCATAGTTTCTATACAAAATTACCCCCTTTTTTCAATTTTTAAGTTTTAGATGGAAATAAAAGATGGATTCCGGTAGAGATATCACTAGTCTGACTTTGTGTGACTGAGGAATCCATTTTTCCATATGATTATCTTGTTTCTCTACTCAATGAAAAATCTTAAATTTTGCGTCGTCATTTCCCATGCAAGTTAATTTATTTACTGTTGATAAATTTCGTTCAGGTACTTTATTTTTAGCGACCTGTCATCATGCGCCCAGGTACTTAAAATTGTAAACATCTTTTTTTGTTGAGCTTAACCTTTTTAATTTAAAGAAAGTGACTAATTTTGAGCTAAACATAAATCCTGTGAAGTTCACGTTTCATTCGATTATACCAGTTGACAATAGGAAAACTCCTGGCGATTA